TTAATTCCTGCTAGCTATCAGCAGGAGGCTGCTGGCTTTTCATTAATTTCCTTTCCACTATTAATTAACCATGTGCCATATATACTTGCTTAATTAGGCCACTGGGCCCAGCGCTTTGCTCTCTCTTAGTACCATTTCTAGACAAACCTATTGATCAATGTGTTTAAACTGAGGATGAAATTCACTTTGGAGAGGCCAGTTTCCCCAGTTTAATCTGTACCAATTGCCTCCTGCAATGAAGTTAAACTGATGAAGTGTCGTTCTACACTCACTTATTTTTCTAATGTTGTCTTTGAAGCTGTAAAGGATTTTGGAGCTTTTTTAAATGAACAAGCAGGAAACTGTATAAGCCTTTGGAAAGACGGAAGACGTCATCAAAAATTAAAAGGAGTGATGATTCCTAGGGATAGTCTCCCTAACTACATTGAGAAAAATAAGCACATATTTTTTGGAAAATATAAAAATCTGGGATTACATTTACATCAGCATGTTCTAAAAGGGTAATTTGTGCAAGAACATATTGACAAAATCCACTGAAAAACTGCAAAAATATTCAAAAATAGCAACAATTGAAAAAGTGAGAGTATTGAACATATTTTCACAGTGGTTACGTCCTTCATGATTGTTGTTGTGATTTTTTTCCCCCTGTAATTGAAATTACAGATTTTGTGATGCTACTTCAGAAATATTTTCAATTTTGTGATGTTTGCACTCGTGCCTGAGAGTAAATGGGATTTTTTCTCACTTTTCACATCAGTTCTACAATAATTTGATACCAAGTCAGTTAAAGGCAGCAGTGTAGTAGACGTAACAAACACTGCCCCCTGCAGGTGGGAGTTAGCATCATTTAAACAGTTTTGAAGAAAAGTTTTGATAAACTCACAATTATAACAAACTGACTCTTAATGTGAAAGATGCAAGCATTTGTTGATTTTGCATAAATTTCCATGAAAAAACTGGAGGGAGTGATTTATGTAATTTAGCGGTAAAAAGATAAAAACTGCTTTGATTTGTTTGGTAAAATAATATTCAAGCAAACTGCTATTACCTTGAAGGTTCTGCGTTCCTCTGGAATCCGGAGGGCCATATAAGAAGCTCTCGCGGGCTGGATTTGGCCCCCGGGCCTTGAGTTTGTGTGAGGTAGCACACAAACTTCAATGCAATTCTCTACATGAATATGTTCTCTCCGAGGTTGTGCCTGCTTCCTGCTTGTGTTGGTTCCTCTTTCTACAAATCAAGACAGATCTGTCACAAATTTGAGTCTATTTAGAGTTTTTTATTAAAAATCTAAACTAATAACTCTTTGAGATCTCATTCGTGTAGCAACCAGACAAGAAGTTGACTAGAAAAAAGGCTTGTATTTATGTTACAAAGTATAACATTTCCACCCCTGCCTATAAATAAAATAAAAAGAAAGAAAAACATCTCTTGTTTCTAATATTTGAATAATTTCAATGTAATTTTCATTTTTATAACTAATAAATATAGGTGATCATTTAACATTAATTCGAGTCAGGCAAGCATAAATATTGTTTTTTGGGAAAATTGTTCACCTTCTTAACTCAGTGGCATCAGGATCTAATATTTCTCAGCAGTCCACTCTTCACATCTTCAATAAAATATAAATATTTACCTCTTACATAAGCAATAATTACTGCAGGATAATTGTATCTGGATTATATTGCAGCTTTCTGTTTAAAAATGTGACACACAGAACAGAAGCCCTCAGATATGCTGGAGATGGAAACATACCCAACGCTTGAAATGAAATGTGCAACCCCCTTGGCCTCTTATCAAATTTGCATTCACAGATTTATGCTGTTTTTCTTTCGCTCACTTTGCAATCTTTGTTGACCTGTTTGGACTTACAACAACCCTGATGAGGCAATTAAATTTCCCTGCCAAAGCCAGCCTTGGAAGGGATCAATTCTGTCCTTTTAGCATCAGGTGGCAGGTTCTCGCATTCATTACCATCTGCATATGTTTCCTAATGGGATTGGATTTGTACTTATGAGTCAACAGTGCTGTTATTGAATCAGAGTAAAGCAACTGCTTTCTCCTTTGCTTCTTTTTGAAGTTCTTTTTCTCTTGTGGAAGATCGTTTATGGTCTTTTATCAGAGTAAACACACAAGGGATGAAGCAGAAAAATTTGACTGTTCTTTGCATTTTTGAAGGTGTCTTTGGTGGAAATCAATTGCTTTAAGGTACGGGTAAATGAGAAGGAGTCTTGTAGAAAAGATGGTATTCTGCGTTAGTGACCGCACCATGTTTTACTTTCACTCAATAATTGCTTTGATTACCTTCAACTTTCTGGGTGGTCGTCCTCCAGGGGCCTCATTAGACAAAACGACAAGGCCAGAATTTTAAAATTAGCTTACCAAAGACGTATTTCATGGCCAACATTCTCTTTGACCTTGAACATTTTGATGCATATCAATGCATACGGTAAGACTGTTTGTCAAAAAGCAAATTCACATGCAAAATGTTTAGCTATAACATTAGGAGCGAGGTTTAGACATGGCTCTGGGTTGTGACCTACATAAAGCCTGGAGGAGTTGACTTTAACCGGGCCTGGGGACACGGGGGGGTTACAAATGACTGCACCACTCTACATCACATCAGACAAAAAGAAGTAAGAGGAAACTCATTGAAAGTCACATGAACATGAGCAAAGGAGGATGTTTGATTAGACTGGAAAGGGATTAATTATTTATAGAATGCAAATGAGTTGGCATTGGACTGCAGGTCCAACTTTGACAGTTTAGGCTATGAAGCTTTTCCTCCCAACTGACGATAAAATGCATCTAAAAATACTTTGCTGTGATATTTATATGACTCCAACACGCTGAACCAGCTATTGTTTGTTTATGCTTTGAATCTTATGACTGAATTACTCTGCGTTGTATGAATAAACACACAGAATGCGTACTGTTTCTGTAAAAATGGCTGACGACAAACCAAACATAAAGCAGTTTGGTTTGTGAGATAAAAACATTTTTTTAGATGCAGAATTAAATTATGGCTTTAACATTTAAGTGACAATATTTATGTTATTGGTAATGAAATTTTGAGTCATTATTATTGTATTGAATTGTAGTGTAGGATATGTGATTTAAACTAAATCTGCTACCTACTGGGTAGGAAGAACTCAAATAGATCAATATGAGTAAATTGTTTTTTCAGGCATTAGAAAACTTAAATGTCACTTTGAAAGTAAAATTTTATATTTTCATTCTCAGATGCTGACCATTGACTCCACATTTTTATTCACACCTGCTTGGTTGCAGATGTCCTTTGCTCATCCTGAAAAACGTTTTCCAGTTCTTTCTCATTTAATTCCTCCCCCACATTCATACTGATCCTACATTTTTACTTCAAGAACAAACGTCCCTATTTCTCAGTAGAAGAGTTTATAAGTGGCAATTCTAGCACATATATATATATATATATATATATATATATATATATGTTGAACTGGTATGCAAATAGTATTGCTAGTGTTAAATAATGTTAAAATCAGTGTTTGGAGTAATACATTCTTCTACTGTTTTGGTTTTGTTTTGAGCTGCTTTGAAGGGCAACACAACCAAATGTGAAACTCAAAGCAATTTACTATGTAATTTCACAGCTCCTCTATGCATTTCTTTCACCTACCTTCTAACCACAGTCATGCCTGGAAGAAAAATGGAAAGACTCAGAGAAAAGTCGGCCTGAATAATTGTTGAAAAAAGATAATCTCTTGCATGACAAATTATTCTGTTCCTTCTTTTGTCTCACTTGGAATGGCAGAAATATAAATGTTTTTTTACAAGTTTTGAGTTCCCACTGTGTGTTGCAAACCAACATAGGAGCAAGGAATGTAAAGTGAAATAATTACGACACTGCAATCGTGTTTTTCCAAGAGACAAAAGGGATTAAGGGAGAACTCAAAGCAATTTTAAATAATTTTTTCCACTGTCTGGAAAACAGTCTAGCAAATGGGAACATTCAAAACAATTTCCAACATTCCTGGTCTCCAAACACCTGAAATTGTCATCATAGAACCTTCATATTGTCATATGAAGGCTCTCGCTAATATTAATGTGAAAGTGGATGCCTGTAAAATAAAATAAAATACTGCCCCAGTTTTTCTTTCAGAAAAACATTTGACTTTACTATAGGCTGCCAGAGAGAAAGTAAAGAAAAACTAATGAAGTACTGTTCTTTGGACAGATTAAATTTAATGTTTTGTACACAAATCAAATTCAGTGCTCCATTAAAAGAATCTAACTCCTGCTGGGAGATATGGAGGTGGAAGTGTCATGGTTTGGGAGGATATTTTGCCACAGGTTCTGCCTAATGAACCACGATGAATATACCATAAATCAGGAGGAGCTGAGGGACAATAAATAAAAATAAGTAAATAAAGCTGAACTTTACTGAACACGGCAATATGACAGTTATCCAAAACATACCAGTTAATCCATCAAACACTGGCTGAGCATTGGGAAACGGAGTCACAGCCCAGATATTGATCTAATTGCGATGCTGCCAGGTGACTTAAAACAGGCTGAAAATAATAATAATAAAAAGAAAAAAATCTGTCACAGATGAAGAATGTGGCGTGGGAGAAACTGGCAAATAAAAACTAACTATAGAACACTATAACCAAAGAAAAGAGTTTATAAGTTATTTTAGCCTGTTAGCGGAAGCGTGTCTTTATTTTTTAAGAAAAAGTTGATAATGTTTACTTAAGAGGCACAAGGCTAACCTTTGTTCTTTAAGTGCCGTTAAATCATTAGACATCAACATATAAACTCTTCCTAATAAAGAAATACATATTTAATCGGATGTTCTAATTTCTTTAAATCTTACATCACAGCAAACTTCATTTAAAAACTGGGCCAATCTCATATATCTTTCCAAAGATAACACTCTTTCAGTTCACATCCGTGCAGCTGTACTTTGATTGTTCAAATGTAAATTTTTTTGTGCTTCTCTTTCTCTCCTTGTATCACAGCTTTAGCACTGCCTACCAGTGTATCTACTACTCCCCTCAGCACACAGCCAAAGCTCAGGAGGTTCTCAGCACCGTGAGTCTCCTCCTGCCCCTCATCACAAGCTTGGCTGACCAGCTCCTCCAGGCCGCCCTTGAACACTCCTCCTCTGGACTCAAGGATGCACTCAAGAGCCTTTCCGACAAGGTGAGCCAGCAACTAAATCTCCTCTCTTCCTTCACCTGCATCTCGGCTACCTCTTCATTGCTCTCCATCTCAATCCACAGCAACAGACAAACTCTTAAGGTTGAGTTTGGCAAAATTCATTTGCATTCTTACCTCTTTTTCAAATTAATTTTAATGACGGTGTTTAAATGTGGACTGTGGATTATGTTGGTGTAAACTGTTTCACTGGAGGCCAACAAAGGGATTTTATACATATTTTCTACCAACAGTTTGTGTTAAAAAGAAGACAAAAATGTTTCCATGGATAATTATTTTAGGTCCTTCCTGATAGAAATCTTAGGTAAAAGAACAAGTTGGAAATTTGCACGACCTCACTGACTACTGAAAGGTTTGGCCATTACAATGTATTTTGCCAATGGATGATATTGAAATGAATTTTTTTATTGATAATTTCTCATTAAACTTCCCAAATTTTCTCAGATAACCTTATCTAACTCTGGAGTAATACAAACCCAATCCAAAGCCCTTAAACTGCAAGCAACCAAAAAACGAATAAATGCCATTTCCACAGCCTTGGAAGAATAAACCTGAATTGAGACATTTCTACAAAATTCATTGTTCATGGATAAAATTACCAAAATGTGACGCAAAAACACAATTTAAAATCTGTAAACATTTATTTTAATGGGGATTTCACTAAAGCTGCACTTTTCTGCAAACAGGTTTGGGTTGAAAAGAAGATACCCAAAAATGTAAAAGTTTCCACAAACGATTTTTAATGTTTCAGTATAATAGACAAGCTTCCACAAAAAGAAAAAGAAAAAGCCAAACAAATGCATGTGCGGTATGGTGGTTTATGGAGCTAGAGCATTTTTTATCAGTATAATTAATGAATTACATCTGGTGCTGTCAGATTGCAATCTGTTGTGGGAGAGATTGTTTGTGCCACAGTGGAACAGAGCCCAATCAGCCTCCTTAATTGGTACATTCGCTCCGTCACCGCTTCCTCTCATCCTTGATTAGACACGCACACGCTGGCCGAGCAAGCCCCTGGCCTGGTCAGCACAAGGAGGGCCGCTCGCTGATTAAAATCTCAAGCTGGGTTTGTCAGTGTTTGTGTGTGAGGCAGCAGGAGGTGGAAGTGTGAACAGGTTTGTGTGTTTGTCAGAAGGCTGATGATGACATCTCTCTCTTTCTCTCTCTCTCTGTCTCTCTCTCTCTTTCTCTCTCTCTCTGTCTCTAACTCTTCAAATCCCAAAGTCCATGATGAAGGAGCAGCACACAAACATTTTTATTCAGACACATGCCTGAAACAGTGTGCAGAGACTTTGAGTGGTGCAACTTTGTAAACATGTAAAGTCTGGAATGTTTTAATGAACCACAAATACGAGTTTTTGTTTCCTGTTAGGTGGTCAAATATATAACCGATTCATTTGAATTAAATCTTTCACTGAGAGATGATGAAGAGAAATTCAAAGCTTCCAGTTTTTACTTGTGTTTCCTGGAAAGTCCATGAATAAACAACAAATATAAAGGTTCCACCATGAGTTTGGCTTCATTTAAATCAATTAGACTGAAAGGAGTCTCATAAATGTCATAAATGTTTCTATTTATGTTGATGAAAATGGTCTGAAAATGAAAATTGCTTTAAACGTAATTATGTACTTTGCTTAAAGGGGCGATGCTTCTCTGCATCATTTTATAGCATAATCAATAATCAGTGTTGCCTGTATATCAAATATGACTTAAAAGGAATTTGGCTTCATAATGTTCTGCCTTGAAATTGGGCCTCTGTCCCTTTAAAATCTCCTGCTCTGTCTGAAACTCCATTTTGAGGAAATCATCTCAACATTGTTTCTTTATTAGCTCTTTAGCAATGTTTTTGCCAGCATTAAAATGAGAAGTAGCTCCTATAATGAGCTCAGCATATGCACAGTTCCACCAGGTGTTTCCTAATTGCTGCTGCTAGTCTGAAGGAGCTGAGTAGGAGAGTAGCGGGGAAGAGCTGCTCTGTGAGGCAGCAGTTTGAAAACTGCAGCTCTGAGGAGGATCTGTGCCTCGAAGGCACAACTCCTTTGAGACACAGCTTGGGCAAAACGTGAGCAAAACGCTGCGGGCGTTTTGCTCAACTTAAAGGATTCAGCACGCTAACATTAGCCTGGCACTGCTTAGTATGAAACTACCATCAGCCATTAGTTTTTTAAGACTGTGTGTTGAGTTTGACATATCTTTACATACAAATGATGATGTTATGCAGCGTCTACCGAAAACTACCTAAAACGTTAAGCTAGTTTGGTAGCATTTTGAGGTTGTCCTGCGAAAACAACTATTGAGACTGAATATCTGTATTGTGCAAACCCTAAAACAACTGGAACTGCAAGTGGTTATCAATGCGTTCCAAGTCCAGCCCAGACTACTGAAAGGTCTGGCCATTACGATGCATTTAGAAAATGGATGGCATCAAAACAGATATTCAAATGAAATAAAAAATTCCCCTAATTTTCTCAGATAGACATGTCTATTTCTGGAACAATACAAACCCAATCAGGTGCCCTTAGACTGACTGCAAGCAAAAAATGTTAAGTCATTTCCACAATATTGGCAGTACAAATCTTTATTCAGAAATTCCCACAACATTTATAGTTTATGGATAAAATTTTCCAAAATATGAGTTAAAAACACTTTTAAAGCTCCTTTACACTCAGTCGTCTTTGGTAGGAGTTTGTCAGCATCCCACATCTGGACTTATTCAAGTCTAGCTCCATCTGAAGCAAAGTAGCCGTAGATCATGATTCTGCCACCGTTATATTTCACTGGTGGGTACGGTTTGCCCTGTGGTGAGGTGTCTTTCCATTATGTGACCATCTGTGCTGTTAATTCATTAGTTTAAGAAATCATTATTACTTTCACCTAAGTAATTTTAATTTTCTAGAGATCAGACTATTTATTTTACTGGAACAGATTATGTTTTTCTGTTAGTGTTTGTATAGTTATTTGCATTTTATACCTTTAGCAGCTGTAAGGTGTTTCATTGTTTTTATTGCTGTGAGTTGGTATTCACCGATGCTTGCCTCGTCTCAGCTTCTCATCGTTTCGTCTCATTTCAGAACAAGCAACTACTTGTATTATAGTGTTGTTTTCCACTGAGACCTTTAACTGTTCTGATAATTTTTTAAATAAAGGGTTTATCTTACAGAGCTACAACATACAGCTTTGTCTAATTTCCTGAGGGAGTCTTCCCAAGGGATCAATAAAGTCAAGTCTAAGTCTAAATAAGGAGCGCAGCATTCAGAGTAAAAAGATTTCTTTCCAAGATCTTTCCAAGGTCTGTCTCGGCTATCCTTATTCGCTGCTTCCAGTAAGGCAGCGCCTTTCTACTTCTTGATTAGTAGAAAGGCGCTAAAAAAAAAAAGTTTCTTGTCTTTATATAATAATGGTTCTGTTGATGATGATAATAATGTCACGCTGATGATAATCACAGTGAACGGACTAATCTTCCCTGCCTTCAGCTGTGTCCTTGGAACGTTATCATGTTCCTGGTTTGCTACGTTAAAAAGAAAAAAGAGAAACTGTGGGATTTGATCTGTATCCATCTATGTGTGTGGAAATATACCATCGTAAGAAGTAGCTGAGATCTGACCGGTTTCATCCCTGTTTCTAAAACAAAGTAGCTAGAAGAGAACTGAGCAAGTTCTATTTTTAAGAACCCAAATGTGCTCATCCTTCAGGGGGAAATCATTGAGGGTGAATGGATTTTTATGTTTCTGCTCTTTCCCAGATCAAAGATAACATTTTTTCTTCACAGTCAGATCAGGCTGAGGCGCTTTCAGACTCAGATGCTCTTCATTCCAGATCAGACCATCAGAATCTGCAACCTACAGAAAGACAACCAACTCTTTATCTTCAGGGATGCTCAGCATTTCAGGCTTTTCAAAGATGAATGTTGATCAATTACACAAAGAAATACTTTTTGCAGAGATGTGCAAAAAGTATTTGGCCTCAGAAAATATATTTTCAATTTTCTTTTTAATATTATAAACACATTATCTACACTTCCTGTCATAAACCATAAGAATTTGGACCACTACTTTTTGATCATGGTTTTATCTTGTTAATTTTTTTGTGGATCCACTTTAGAGAAATGAGTTTAATACTTGAACTCAGATTGAAATTCATTTTAAGATCAGATAAGCAGAGCTTAATTTCAGCCTGATTTGAATCTCAAATTTTTGTCAAAAGTTGTAGTTTTTGCATCCATTTTCTTCTTTTGGCTGTTTGGATATTTCATCTTTCACTCATTTATGGGCAGCATCTTTCCATCAGACATGCCTTTCCTCAGACAATTACACATTTGATCTACTTATAGACTGAAGTTGTAACATCATTGACCTGCAGTAATGGAGATAATTTAGATCCATGCGAGAAGGTTTAAATGGATACGCATTAAATGTAATTGGGTTTTAAGAGTCTTTACCATTTACTTTGCTTTTTTTTTCATCAGATGGTCAACTCTAATAAAAACAGTGACGCAGGGCTCACGTGCTGGTAAATGTCTGCATCATAAAATATATGCTCTTTGAAATAGACTATTGGAATTGTAGAGCCATTGAAGATAAAAAAAAATGGCTATGGAGAAATGTAAAATATTTTCAAGAAAAAACATCGAAATTCTACCTGGAAACTATCAGTTCTTGAGGTTTCAATAGAAAAGTTTTTTTTTTTTTTGCTGTTTTTTTTTTTTTTTTTTGAAGCAATGATGACATTTCCAAAAAGTTTGTCACCCAGGGAAGAAGCCCCATTTCCAGGAACAACAATTTGAGTAACACTTTATTTGAAGGGATGTGCATAAGACTGACATGCCACTGTCATAAACATGACATGACATAAACAAATGCAAAGTTAACACTTTTAATGGTCTTTTAATGGAACTTTGCATTAGAAGTTTCATTATTTACCAAATAATAAAAAGTTGACACTTTTTAATGGACTTTTAATGTAACTTTCAATCCAACTTTCCATTAAAAGTGTCATTATTTACCAAATGACATTTATAAAGACTCATTCATCTTTATGACTGGTTGCGTTATGTTTATGATGGCATCATGTCAGTCTCATGCACACCTCTTCAAATAAAGTCTTACCATGATTTGCTTAAAACCACTGGGTTACTTCTACACCCAGTCTCTTAAAAAGGAGAGTACATCACGGGGACGAAGCTATCTGAAGAGCGGACTGGCCTGTAAAGCTGTGCAGGAAGCGGCCCAGAGCTGGCTGGAGATTTGACACTGCAGTGCTTTTCTTTAGGGCTGACAGAGAACTCCCTGGAGTTTCTCTCTGCGCTCGGTCCACATCGAAGAGGTCGAAGCAGAAAAATCTGAACTGCGTGCATGTATGCAACGACACCATACGTCTTCTTTAGGCATTTTAGCTGTTGTGTTTTGTTTAGCTGCATTTTTCTGGTGCTAAAACAGCTTTGGTAACTGAGTTGCTCCTGGGAGTCGCAGCAGCTTCCAGGATGATCAGCAGCAAACAGAAGCTGGTGAATTTGACATCAGAAGGGGAGGGCTCCTTGGAGAGGAAGGCTGGAGGAGGAGTAATTGAATTGTTTGTTGTTTGTTGCTGTTATTCTCCTCTTCCATTGAGGTGAGGTAATGGAGAGCGTCTTCCTTATGGTGAAGGACTGTGTTCATTTTCCTTGTTTCTTTTCACTTCCTCTGTAAATACTTCTCTGTATTTCCTTCAAACTCACTCCGCCTCGCCGTTGTGACGGCCCTTCTCTGTCTCGCACACCCTGTCTGCTTTGTTTCTTCAGCACTTCCATTATTATTTGTTGTGTAGTTTCCACTGTCTGTCTGTTTTCCAATTTCTTTCCTTCTTCGTTTGCTGCAGACGGAGCAGTTTGTCCACACGCTTAAGGACGAATTGGTCAAGAGCGCCCTGCTGGCGCTGCACGCGGCCCGGCCCGGGTACGTCTCCAAGAGCCAGAAACAAACGCCAGTGCTGTGCCACCAGCAAAGTCAGGGTGGGGACCTGAATCACAGTCCAGTCCAAGGACTACCGGGCCACAGTCCGGCCACGCCTGTCACAGAAAGCCCAGTGGCGTGTAATAATGTGAAGCACCAAGACTCCATACCACACCACAAAGAGTACGACGAGGAGGAATGGGTTGGTATCCGGATCCTTCTTCAACTTATTACCCTCTACAACACTTTTACCACAAGTCCCTCTCGACTAACGATCTCCATCAAGAGACTTTATAGGTCAAAAAAAGATGTGAATACCAGTTAAATATATCATTAAAATATTGTAGGTCAGTGGTAGGGCTGTACAATAAATCAATAACAACATACATTGCAATGGAGACGTTATCAACATCATTTTATAATACATCTGATTCAATATTCAATATAGAGAATATTCACTGAATTGGATCCAGAACCGCACAGCATTGTGGGAAATGTAGGCAGAGAAAAGCCTCCAGCTGATCAGCTTAGCAAGACTGGTGGCATCAACTCACTCACTCTCTGGTTACCTAGCAACTCACTCACTCTCTGGTTACCTAGCAACTCACTCACTCACTCTCTGGTTACCTAGCAACTCACTCACTCTCTGGTTACCTAGCAACTCACTCACTCTCTGGTTACCTAGCAACTCACTCACTCACTCTCTGGTTACCTAGCAACTCACTCACTCTTTGGTTACCTAGCAACTCACTCAC